CAGCTTCACCAGCAGTAACTACACCAGTTTTGACAGCTCCCGCAGCAGCTCCTGTTAGGTATGAATGTAGTGCAATACATATATTATCAATAGTATTATACAAAACCCCGTACCTACGGCACCACCGACCGTTTCGGCAGCTGTCACAACACCATGTCCTACAGCTGATGCGGCATCACCTATAAATTGGGCATTCAATGATTTGAGCATCTCATCACTTTTTTTCAGAGGAGATTTCCTCACGCGTTGAATTTTGTCTTAGATTATAGCTTAGTTCTTCTCAAACCCTTAGTACTTAAGACACACAGTTGCGAAATTGAGCTTTTATGTTATTGCATTTGATTATTTTGAACACTTTTGTATGTTAGGACTCATACGGCCAAACTGATTTCTTCATTTGCAAAAAGAAAGTTGAAAATACTGTTGTATAACTAATTAGTTCCAAATTTAAATGTCCTTTTTTTGCATTTTGCGCAAAAGAATTTGGTTCTGCCGAAAGCTGATTGTGGCTATTAGAGTACGGCTTATTGAAAGAAAAACTTTGAAATTTTAAAAATGAGTTGGCAAGACCAATGATTATGACACAAATACACAATAATTATAAATGAATACTCTACTTTTAAGTATATGGAGCTCATCTAAAAATTGAAACTATTTGATTCCATTCACATTAAATTTCTTCAGTTAATGCTGCAGTCCAGGGAAACAAAGGTGGGAATTATATGTTCATCTGGCTAATCTAGCAGCGTATCCAACTGTTATGGTAATCAGCATTATTTCAGCCAAACTAATGAATTTTCGAAAAGAAAATTTTTGTAAAATTGGGAAAATCGTATGTCATCAGCTATTTAGTAGCGATTTAATAATTCTTTGATGAAGAGAATGATTATTTTCCACAATTCTATGTGAAAAGTTTGAATCAAGGGCAAAATGATGTCACCGTTACAAGTTGATGTACTTTGTAAAAATTGTTATAATTACTTCAATAATCATCGCTACAGTATGACACTCAGTATCTTGATCGCTCTAGGAATCTGCAATTGACTGCAAACGGCCACATTCAAAGGTTTTTTAGGAGTTTAAATTAATGTCTCATGCTTGGCTACGTAGTGTTCATCCATCAAGTGTAAAGCATAGTCTCGTGAGGTTCAGAGAGGCTCAAGACCAAAAATCTTTGCTGAAATGAG